GGAGGAGGAGGTCTGGGACGAGCGGAAGCGGGTGGGGGCGAGAATGTGTCCCCTTGTTCTCCCCGGTCCCCACTGGGGGCGGAGGCGGGGGCCACACCTGAGGGCAAGCCTCAATTAGAGTCGGCCGCAGGCTGGGAGTGGAGGGGGAGGGCGCCCAGCCCCCACCGAGCCTCTGGGGTGGGCTTTCCCAGAGGCTTCCAGGTGTGCCTGGGGGTGGAAGCCGTAAAACCGCCTTTCCTACGGTGCGCTGGCTTTTAATCTTGTCAAGGGGGAGGTTGTTGTGTCTGGGAACCTCCTCTCAGTCCCCCCTTTCTGCACCTGGAATCTTCAGCCTCAGTTTCCCCCTTGAAGAAAATGTTGGGGAGGAGTATTATGAAGAGAGATGAAAAAGACTGAAAGCCATCCTTCTTCCCACTTCTCCCAAGATTACTTCAAAAAGTCCAGAACAGAAGTTGTAGGGCCCGGGAGCTGGTTTAGTTGAACCGGAGGTGGGCTGTGGCAGACAGAACCAACTCAGAGCTGGAACAGGGCCTGACCCGCCAACCCTGGGCCATTTAGAAGGTGGAGCCGACAACAGCCAAGAGGGAGGTCCCGCGGGCCTAGGATTGACATTCTCCTTCCAGCTCGTCATAATTGCTTTTCACCAGGTTGCTTTTTTCTGTCCCCCTATCACAAAGAGCCTTAATCCTAGTGAAGACCGCCGGACGCGCTGGGGGTAGTTTTCTGGGGTGTGTGTAGGGCGGGTGGTCTGGGGCTGCAGCTGATAACTGGAGAGTTCAATGGAACTTTAAAACTGGGGCAACACCCAGCAATTACTTGAGGACAAAGAGTTGGGGCCCCCAAGGTGTGGAGTATTGGGACTTTGGGGGGCTGGGAGGACTTTCAGAAGGAGGGGGACTCTGATCCCTCTGATTATCGCAGGAATTTGAGACATTCTTTAAGACTCTAGACTGCCTCTCCAGCCGGGCCTTGGCCCACCCCCCACCCTCCCTCTTGGGTTAGAGGCAGCTTCAAAGGTGGACTGGGCCCTTTGTCTGGCCTCGGCTTTCTTCTCAGGCCTTTTTCGGCCCCTCCCTCCCTCTTTGACCTCCCCAGCACAGACAAGCCTCTCGGGGCCAGCTCCAGAAAGCCCTCACTGTTTCCTTTCTTGCTTTTTGAGGTGAGACCTGGCAGGCAGGGACAGAGTATGCCAAAGAGTAAAGGACAAGCTTTGGAGTGCAGGGCTGAACCGGAAGCCAGGGGCATCTCAGAGAGCCTTCTATCCATCCGATCCCTGGTTAGGCTCAAAACCCACTCTTCACCACACCTCTTAGTGCCTTTGCCCAGCCGGCAGGCTCTGTATCCTAGGTAGCCTTTTACATCCCAGAGCCTTCTGGACAAGTTTAACATGAAAATCCCACAATGAAGAAGCCAGAGCCAAGTATGGTGACATACGCCTGTAATTAATCCTAGCCCTCTGGAAGCTAAGACAAGAAGATTGAGAGTTCTTACTTGGACTATGTGAGACCCTGTCAGAAATAAATAAATAAATGGAGTGGGTCAAAAGGAATTGATCTCTTGTGATGACACTTTGTAGGGACATTAGGGGTTTGTGGTAGGAAAGGGACTTCTCAATGGATTTCAGATCCACATAGAGACTTTAGCAGCCCTGACTGCTTCTGGTGCCTGAAGGATCTGAGCAGACTCTTGACAACAGCTTCTTGCTAGAGGAGGCCAGACGAACCCATGCAGGGAAAGACAGTGGAGGGAAGCTGCAGGCGCCCGGACTCAAATCCTGTGTAATGTAGTATTACTATATTCTAAGAATGTTTTCCACATCAATCTCTTTTGCTCTGTCTTGTCCCTTCACGGTTCTGTCCTCTAAACTCCAAAGGAGCTGGTGGAAGGAAGTCAGGAATGATGTCCAGTCATTTCAGATACCACACAGCTGCTTCTATTTTAAGTCACACTGTCCAACAATGTCCCTTGGATGCCATTGGCCAGTGGCCTCCCAGTTACCAAACCAGGGTCTGGCTTCAGTCCTCAGCCTTGACCTATAGTAGGCTATCCTTCCTAGCTTCATTTCCTATTCCCATAGAAACCTCTCTAAGGGGGATGGCTAGAGAGATGGCTTAGTGGTTAAGAGTACTGACTACTCTTCCAAGAGGTCCCAGGTTCAATTCCCAGGACCTACATGGCAGTTAACAATTGTCTGTAACCCCAAGATCTGACACCCTTACAAAGGCATACACGCAGACAAAACAAAAGTGCACAGTAAAGGGAGAAAGAAAGAAAGGAAGGAAGGGAGAGAGAGAGAGAGAGAGAGAGAGAGAGAGACCTCTCTAAGTCCTTCTATGGATTTCCCTCCTGAGTATTGTCACCTTGGAAGCTGTAAGCATCCCTTGCATACAATTGCTTTGGCAGGGTTTCTTGGCAGACCTCCCTAGGTTCTGTATAAATGAAGTCTGCCTACCCACTTCTGTCCATCCACTTAGTTGCTGAACACATAGGTCTCTGAGGGCCATCACTAGTAAACCTCCTGTCCAGCCTCCATACGGAGCCCTTAAAACACTAGCAAAACAAGAACACTTGCCCCCCCAACACACACACACTAAACACCCCCCTCTGTTTTGCTTATTTTATTTATTATGTGTGTGTGCATGGTATGTGTGTGGAGACAGAGAACAATTGTGTAAAGGACAGAGGACAATTGGAGTTGGTTCTCTTCCACCTTTATGTGGGTTCCAGCCATCAGACTCAGGTCATCAGGCTTGCAAAGCAAGTAGCATTACCTGCTGAGCCGTCTCACTGCCCCCCCCCTTTAATAAAAGTTTGTTTTTACTTTATGTGTATGAGTGTTTGTCTGCATGTATGTCTGTGTACAACATATGTGCCTGCTGCCTTCAGAGAGTAGAAGTGGGGGCTAGCCACTCTGAAGCTAGAGTTACAGGCAGTTGTTAATCACTTGAGATGGGTGCTGGGAACTGAACTTGGGTCCTCCAAAAGAACAGTACATATACTATCTCATGTACATATACATAGTCTCATGAGACAGGGTTTTACCCTACAGTGCACTTCCTTGCCTAGAACCCACTATATAGCCCAGGCTGACTTCAAACTTGGAGCAGCCATTCTGACTCAGCCTCCCAGGTGCTGGGATTCCAGGGGCAAGCCACCACAATCCGGTTCCCACCTCTCAGTTCTGAAAATGTGGCAAGTGTTCTCTTCTCTGGCTGCTCCTCAGCACTGTGTTGTCTGTCCCTCAAGAGGCAGGCAGGATAGGAAGCCAGAACCCTCAGGCATACTCTGCGAAGATGGGGTCCTGAGCAGTCACTTTGAATTAAACTTTCATTTTCTCCCTTGGTACTGAAGCACTGTACAGATCCTCCAGTTAATTAAAATGCTGGAGAAGATGGAGCTTACAGGGCCCTTGAATTTTAATTGGAGGGATTAACCCATAAAAGCATGTTTCTTTCATTGAGATTCTTTTTGGAATTCTCTCTCCCTCTTAAAATTAAGATAAAATGCCATCCAGGTGGTAGCACAAGCCTGTAATCCTATCACTTGGGAACCAGGGAATTGAGGCATGAAGATTTCAAGTTCAAGGCCAACCTAGGCTACTTATATAATGAGACTTTTTTTTTTTTTTTAAGAAAAAGGAAGAGTAGATAAGAAGTTTTGGAAATAAAGTGGGGACCATGGTCATGTCTGTAACTCCAGTACTTAGGAAGCTTAAGAAGGACTGCTGTACCCTTGAGGCTGGGTTACAGAGTCTCATAAGGGCAAAATTTTTAAGAAATAAGGAACTAAAATGTACAAAACTCTAGAGATTTGCCAGGCAGCATGCAGGCAGGCTCATATGGACTGTCTTAGAGACACTGTGATCATTATTCTCACTTGTCACCCGGCTGAGTCCTGCAGTCTGGATCTGTGCTGTCTGTCTGCAGCACCTCAGTACAAGGATCCCTTCCTTTCCTAGTATGGTTGGAGCTGAGAGCATTCATGGAAAATTAGCTAGAATGTTGGGTCAAAGTATGAAGGTTAGTTATGTTGCTGCGGCAAGGAAGGGCTTTGAGAAGGGAGTGACAGGTCCAGTGGTCTGGTGGCAGCATCCTTGGTGCTGAGACTCTGAGGTCTTAGAGGCTAAGAGTCCAGTTTCTAGCAGGAATGGGTAGTGGCTTCCAGTCTCTGTTGAGAAAGAGTCACCTTTTGTTGTTGTTTGAGACAGCATTTCTCTGTGTAGCCTTGACGGTCCTAGAACTCACTCTAGACCAGGCTGGCCTTGAACTCACAGAGATCTGCCTGCCTCTGCCTCCAGAGTGATGGGATTAAAGGCCCTG